TGAGTGCTGGCGGCGGCGCCGCCGGATGCTGCTGCTGCTGTGACCGGCGAGGGTGCAAGCTGCAAGACCGGCGAGGGGAGTCGGAACTCAGAAGTTGGCGACCGGTGGTGCAGATCATCGTCTCCATCATCGACTTCTCCATCCTGCACGAGCAGCTCTACCTCGGAAGGTACGTACTGACACTCATGGTACCATGCCATGCCATCACTAAATATCTGAATCCAATCCACCTGATCGAAAGTGAAGTCACCTTTCTGCTCTACTCCTCCGGTGCCCTTTGTGCATGCAGGTGTCTTTGGGATCGATGCTAGTGATAGGTGGCTTGTATCTTCTGGCACGTGGGGCAAGAGTCGAGGCCCCTGCACTGTCCTCCTCCTCCAAAGGTTGTTTGAAGAAGACGCTGGCGATAAAGAGCAAGAGTAAGTGTAGCACAATCAAGACGGACAGCGAGATCCTCCTCGATTGTTGGTCGTTTGGTTGTAATAGTCCCAAATGGGGAGTCGTAACTTCGAAGTTGGCGACAACAAGCGGCGAAACACATTGCAAGCGACGATGCTCGCTACTATTTCTGCGATGGCTATGTCTCGATCCCGGCCCGAAGGCAAGATTCTTCAAACTCTTCTCATTTTTCCTCCGTTCTTTCGTATTGTGCTTGTGCTTCTTTGGATCTGAATGGTAGTGAGTAGTGAGCATCTCTTTCCCATGAAGAAAGTAGAGTTTTTGATCTGTTTTAGGTTGGTGCGATAAGCTCTGACATTTTTGTATCTCATATTAATTTGGTTGGTTAGGTGCCCAATCAGTAGAACAATCAGCTTCAACCAAAGTTGCTATCAACTCAGATGACCCTGCATGGAGTCATTGTTATTGCCCAGACCCAAAGAAGAAGTATTCACTAGTGTGCAACTGCTGTAAGAAGATGATGAACGCAGGAATTACAAGAGTGAAGTACCATCTTGCTCGTCTCGGTGGCAGCGGTGTCTCTAAGTGTGACAAGGTTCCGACTGATGTGAAGGAAGAGATGCTAGCTTTGATTAACAAGAAAACTTATGTAAAGGAACAAAAGCAAAAGGAAAAGAAAAGGGCCAGAGATGTAATTGATCTGGATCACTCAGAAGGTGAAATGTGCAGTGAAGACTCTGACCATGGGAATGAGGTTATTGTGCTAAAGTCATCAAAAGGACCTAGTCATAGTGTTGTTTCTTCATTGGGTAGTGGATCTATCAAGACGTTCTACAAGCCAGCTTCTATAGAAGAGGCTGTTCAGAAGAACCAGAAAGGAGCTTATATCAGCGAAAAGGTTCAATCAAAGTTAACAACTCAGAAAAGAGAAGAGCAAAGGGATAGAGCTTGTGAGTATATATGTCAGTTCTTTTATGAAGCTAGCATTGCACACAATACAGTACTTCTTCCTAGCTTTGCCAATATGGTTGAGGCCATTGGAGCCTTTGGTAGAGGTTTAAGAGGGCCTAGTCCCTATGAGATGAGTGGACCATTTTTGCAGAAAAGGAAACAGAAGGTGTTGGATGGATTCAAGAGCCATGAGGAAGCATGGAAAACCTCATGTTGTACACTTATGACAGATGCATGGATAGATAAGAAGGGCAGGGGAGTAATGAATTTGGTCGTGCATAGTGCTGAAGGGGTCCTTTTTTAGATTCTGTGGACTGCTCTGCTGTCAAGAAAAATGGTAAATACATCTTTGACCTTGTGGATAGATGCATTGAAGAGATAGGTGAGGAAAATGTTATCCAAGTGGTCACTGACAATGCTAGTGTTAATGTAGCAGCAGCAAGTCTCCTAGCAGCAAAGAGACCCAAAATATTTTGGAATGGATGTGCAGCTCACTGTCTAGATCTCATGTTGGAGGACATTGGGAAGCTTGAACCAGTTCAGGAAACAATTGCAAATGCAAGACAAGTGACTGCATTTCTCTATGCTCATACAAGGGTGTTGGATTTGATGAGAAAATATCTTGGTAAGGACTTGGTTCGCTCTGGAGTTACTCGATTTGCCACTGCTTATTTGAATTTGAAGAGTTTGCAAGACAACAAGAAGGAGCTCAAAAGGCTCTTTAGAGATAATGATCTCAATGAGATGGGTTACTTGAGGAGTGCTAAGGGGAAGAAGGCAGAAAAAGTGGTGAACTCTGAAGATTTTTGGAAAAAAGTTGATAGTGCTGTTAATTTTTTTGAGCCATTGGCTAATGTGCTGAGAAGAATGGATAGTGATGTGCCTACAATGGGATTTTTGCATGGATATATGCTTGAGGCAAAGAAAGAAATTGCTTTGAGGTTTGACAATGATGAGGAAAAATACAAACCTGTTTGGGAAATAATTGACAAAAGGTGGGACAGCAAGTTGAAGAGTCCACTACACTTGGTTGGGTACTATTTGGACCCTTATTATTATTACCCAAACAAGGCAAACATTGAGAATGATGGGTCATTTAGAGCAGCTGTAATTGAATGTGTTACGACACTGATTGATGATGAAGAAATTCAAGATAATATCATTGAAGACCTCAACAAATATAAGGAGCAGCAAGGGTCATTTGGACATGACATTGCCACAAGGCGGAGGAGAAATAAGGACTTCAACCCAGGTGAAAAATGTGAAACTAATGTGATTGATAAATTATCCAATATAATTGTTTTTGCTATCACAAGAGTTTAACTTCTTTGCTTATTAATGCAGCAACATGGTGGCTGAATCATGCACAACTACACCTAATTTGAGGCTGTTGGCAATAAAGATTCTAAGTTTGACATGTAGCTCCTCTGGCTGTGAGAGGAATTGGTCAGCATTTGAACAGGTATTAAAAATAATTCTACTTCCACAACTCACCTACATGAATTTATTTTGCATTGCTGTTCATTCTTTGAATTTTATTCAACTGAACAAAACTAGGTACACACAAAAAAGCGCAACAGATTACTTCATGAAAGGATGAGAGACCTTGTATTTGTCAAATTTAACTCCAAACTAAGGCATAAGAAAGAGAACAAGAGTAGAGATCCCATAGAGAAGGAAATTAATGATGTGCTGGAGGATGACAATAATGAGTTCATTACTGGATTAGAACCAAATGCAACTCAAAGTCAAGAAGATCAGGGATGTACAGAACCATCAACAAAAGCACAAGTAGCATTAACATCTCAAGCAAAAGCCAAAAGGAAGAGAGCTCCACGCCCTAGGAAGAAATTCAGGACCCTGGCATCTCTGATGATGCCTCAGTCTGCATCCTCTGCTTCTGAATCAGAGGAAAATCAAGATGGTATGGTATCTACTGATGCTGAAGATGATTAGGTAAGTACACCAAACTATTCAGATGCTGAAATGCATGTGTGATGTACTGATATGTACCAGACTATGGCCTATGGCTCCATGCCTTTTGTTTGTTTGTCTAGCTGTCTATCATCTTTGTATGAACTTTGAACTCACGTATGTCCCTATGTAATGTATGATGTATCATTTATGAACTACGAACTTTGATGTAATGTGTTAGTAAGACTTTGAACTATCCCTATTGGTATTTGTAATGTTTTCATCTTCTATATCTTTATTATGTGTAAAATTACATGATGTTTGACATATTTTTTCTCAACCGCTAAATGGCTTAGCCCACTATTTAGCTCGCTATAGCCTTTCTTAGCCTTTTGGAGAGGCTGCCGCTAAGAGGCTTAGCCCGCTATTTAAAACATTGGTTCATATACTCCATAGCTCATCACTATTGCCTTACAAGTTTGCGTCGATCAAATTATATCCTCTTGAAATCCCCACTTTAGAGCATCTCCAAGAGTATCCAAAAGAGTCTTCCAATCCAGGAATTTTGCAAAATTGAAAAAGCTCATCTCCAACAACTCTCAAACCCACCTCTCAATCTTTTGGCACTTGGAAAAAAACCACAGCCACACTCATAAAGTCACGCGCGCATATCGTCGTGCCAATCCGGAGGTGGAAAGACGTGGGGAAGAAAAAAAAGTAGGACAGGGTTCCTGATGCAAATTTACAAGAGAGAAATAAAGTACAAAGGTGGTTAGTGTGATTTAGAAATAGTTTAGGATTCCTGATGTAAAATTACTTTCTATCTCTTTAGCGCGAGATTTTGGAAACTGTTGGAGTTGTAGCTTTTTTTTATGTCTCCCGATATATTTTGCAAAGGTTGGAAAAACTATTTTTTGGAGTATTTTTTTTAGATACTGTTGGAGATGCTCTTAGGCTCCTTTGGAACGTAGAAATTTCATATGATTTATACAGGATTTTCACAGGAATCGGATCATTGTTTTTGATAAGTCAATGGGAGGGGAGAGGGTCCCCCACCTAGGTCTCATTACATTGGTCGGCTCCAGGTATTCCTCGGCGCACACATCGCGCTGCCTGATGAAACAGAAAGTAACTAAACATAACATAACATAGGGAGCGTAGGTTGTTACATTGCACTTGAAAGGATTGAGCATTGCACTTGAAAGGATTGAGCACCATGTTGTTGCGATGTGTCTATCGTCAGGTTTTAGCCTCGCTCCCCAAATATATGCTTCCAATTTGCATGCTGAAAGGGCACCCGTGAGAGTCATTTGTTCCTTTCTGATAGCAATGGTGTTGCGCCATTTCCAAATATGCCATGAGCAGAGCAGCACGAAGGAGCCAAAGTGTTTCTGTGGGGTGTGGTCTGGGCATTGGATCTCTTTTAACCTTGCGATAGGCCAATCTTCGTTAGTTGTAATGCCGACTGCATTCCAAAACTGTTGTGCATTGGTGCAGCCGAAAATGATGTGTGCTGTGTCTTCAGGGCCTGCATTATTGCAGAGGTTTCATTGTCAACTATTCTTTTCTTCACCAAATTCAGTAATTCACCTTGCACTGAATTCTGCTCTGGGATAGGAGCCATGCAAAGAACTTTACACGCAGGTCATTTCACAGGTAAAACGCAGAAACGAGAAAGTTTGCTTTGTTCCCAAAGGGCCTTACAATGAAACCCATACCCATAGATCGATAACAATTCACACGTTCCAACCTATTGTCTTCCAGCACCTAGCCGGGGGCGTCCACTTGAAACCCCCCTTCTTCCTCTCCTCCTGCGTCAGCCTCGTGTAGTTCCTCCAATCCACGGCAGCATCCTTGAGGTCGAGCACCTTGTTTGCCAGCCCGATGCAGCAGTTGGCGTGCATGGTACAGGCTCTGTTCAGGTTGGCGTGGTACTCGCAGAACCCGCTGAAGTACACCGTCTCGACGGCCTCGATCCTCGCCTGCAGCTTGGTGATGAGCTCGTGCTTGATCTCGTTGAACACCCCCTGCTCGCTACCGCCGGGGAACCTCGCTCTCGCCGCCCGCCAGTACCTGAGCATCTCGATGCTCCGGTTCGTCGACCTCATGTAGTAGAGCCCCGTGTTGAGCGTGTTGTTCAGGGGAGCAAACGCGTCCCTGAAGTAGTCCGTCGACAAGCTCATGTCGGCGTAGACGGAGATGTGGTGGAACGGGTTGCGAAGCCATATCATGTCGGCGTCCTGCAGTGCAGCAAGCGGCGGCAGGCCGAAGCAAAGCTGATGAGAACGAAGCTAGCTAATAAATGGTAGCTAGGTTAGGTCAAATGAGCTAGTAAGCGCGCGCGATCGACGCGAGGCTTAGTAGATCGATCATCTTGCCGTGAAGAGGAAGCTGTAGCCGAGCTCGAGGATGCGCTGCTGGAAAGAGAGCTTGAGCCACACCAGCTCCAGGAATTCCTTTGTCATGAACCTGTTGGCTGAGCTCAGGTTCGCCGTTGACTTATTCACCTCAAGGAGGTAGCAGTGAGGGTGAACGGCCTTGCAGCGGCCGAACCCGCCGGCGTCGATGACGATGACCAGGACGTGGTTGAGGAAGTGCTCTATGTCCTCGCCGTTCTTGAAGCTCTCACGGTAGATGTCCAGCAGTGAGCCGGGCTGCGCCCATGCCTCGTTCACCAACGTGAGAATCACCGTCCTGTCCTCCATGGCCACTCTCGGCAGAAGCTCAGCTAGGCCTGCGAATCCCACCTGCGAATGAAATGTATACACGCACGATCGATATATATACACCACACTATTCATCAGACTATTGCATTTACGTATCAAACATATATATATATACCTCTTGATCAAGAGTAGTAGTGTTGTCGCTCTCCTGAGCCCGCGGGCCAGCCGACTGCCGGGTTCCACTGCTTCCCCAGCTCATGGAGATGCTTGACAAGCCGTCGCCGAGCCGGTCGGACGCCAGGAAGAAGAGAAATGCTGTGGGCAGAGCAGCGCCGATGAGGAAGGACACCAGGTGGCTGCTGTCCTTGCCTCCAAGCCCCATGTTGGCTGTTGCGTCTCCGAATTCAAACTGCAACGACAACGCCAGTCATGTTCTATATCTCTGCCCCTGCGAGCCTCTGGATCTCCAATGACAAGGCCAGATCAAATGCTGCTAGTTGCTACTCCTACTATCCATCGTTCTCTTCTCCCAAGGCATGGACTTCATTTCCGTACTTCCTAAACTTCGTCTCGTTGGCTAAATCTTGGTTACACACGGTCAAGGTCGACTTTTGTCCAATGGTCCAATAAGCATGAATCGGTCGAGATTACCGGGTCATAATTTTCCTCTGACTCAGTAATATCCTCTTGGGAAAACAAATAATTCGTATTGTTAGAATATTTCTAACCTTGAAGCTGGGATATGTTTTTGGATCTTCATCATCCAATGGTTCATCTCACCAACTGAATAAAACTTCCATTTTTGCCAACGAAGAAAAGCTCTTTAATTTTCTTTTTCCCCATCTTTCTAAATCGTTTTTTCAGAACTATCTTTCTAAATCGTCACAAGGCTGTCGTACGTATTTCTTTTTGTCATCATATACGACTACTGCGCAGCGGTTAGCCAATACGGTCATAGGGGACAACTACCTCTACCTGCTGTGATGTCTGATCACTAGTAGTATTAGTTTAGGCCCTGTTCGGCTGGTATTAAATCGGTTTCTGCTGATTTGTATGGCTAATTTGTTGTGAGAGAAAAATATTGTTTCACTACTAATTTTTATGGATTAAAGCCAGCTGAACAGCACAAGTACGATTTTACACGCACGCATGTGCTAACCGCGCGCAATGGGAACAAGCTCTACCAGCGGTTTTCCTTGTCAACCACCGTTGTGCGATGGTTTAGAACAACGCAATTACATTTTCTAGAAGTACTCCTACACCGATATATACAGCCACCGTCTGCTCACCTTTGGAATTTCTCTAGCGGTGATTAGTCTTTTATGGTTATTAGAGCAACCGACAGGATAATTAATATTAAACTGTCGGTTAAAAATCACATAGGAAAATTAAAACCGATAGGAAAATATATAATTATTCCGTGAGATTACTGATGGGAAAATTAATTATCTTATCAGTTTTTAATTAGCACACAGAGAAAAAATATACTTATAGTACGGAGGTCATTTTTTCTATTGGCTATTGATGACAGAGATAAATTTCGAGACCAGTTGAAAAATAATTTTCCTGTCGTGCTCTAACTGATAAAAAAAGTCTTTTCTAACGGTGGGCCATCAACAATTTTTTATTTTATACTATGAGTAACGGTTACTGATAGGAAAATTAATTATCATCCTGTTTGTATTTAAATACCCCACAGAGATAAATTATCCTTACGGTGTTGAGTCATATTTGTGTCGCTGTTGATGACAGAGATAAATTCCTCACCATGGGATGTGGCCATTTGGTTGGCAGAGGATGGACCAAACCTTGCTTGGCTTCAGCGTTGCCGTCTCCACTTGCCCCGGCCAAGGCTGTTATCTGTTTTCCCTTGTGCTTCGGCTGATAGAGACAAGATATTCCTGTCCATTGATGCCGGTTACCTTTTGAAATGTGATCTACGTATTGGATCACTTGAGGAAATAATCGACACGGCGGACTTGTTGTACGACCATCGGGATGGAACAAATTTCTGCACTGGTGAGCTCCCTGTTGCACACTACTTGGTTCCCTGTGTGGAATCACTTTTGCGTATGACCATGGTAATATTGAGCGAGCAGATATTGTGTGGGATCAATAATAGCTGTAAGCTCAGATGCACCTTGGTGCCCAATTCTTTGTGTGCGATTCTTTGTAACCTGAGTTTGTATGAACACTATTATTAATCTATGATTTACTTATGTTAATTCTTGCACCGACATTCCGTTTCTTTGCATTCAGTATCATCTGATTATCATGTTTTTACTTGTGACAGCCCTTGTGTAGAAATGGTGGACGAAAAAGTAATGTTCATCTGATCCTTTCTACTGTACGCGGGCTAATTTTAGGACACTAACCAGCAATGCAAGGTACCTGAATCTCAGTTTTTATGGCTCTAAACCTGGTCTATACTGATGATGTTGATGCAAATAGTGCACATATGCCATTTGGTATCACTTGCAAATATAATTGCTAAGAACAATCAAACCTACTTGATACCCTGGCTAATACCCTGCTATGCGCAGTTAAATTTTTTCTCTATAAATGCTTTCCCTGTTATTGTTCCCTTGTCGTACTACATTGTCGGAATCGGACGCTCATAGCTGACTGTATATATATATATATATATATATATATATATATATATATATATATATATATATATATATATATATATATATATTATTTTATTTATTTATTTATTTATTTATTCATCTGATCTGAAATTCGGAATACGCAGGGGCAGGGCAAATTGGATGCGTTTATAGCACAAACAGTCGACCCATATGATCCACACGCAATCCAAAAGGATCCGTCGGACGGCGGCGGTGCCAGATTTCACCGGCAGTAGCAGCCACATCCCTGATGACATAATCTTCTTCTAGATTCTCATACTGCTTCCCGTCAAGTGCCTTGTGCGCTTCCAGTCCGTCTGCAAGAGTTGGCGGTCCACTATACTCAGCACTCATTTTATCTGTTGCCACCTGGAGCATTCCAGGACTAGGTTGTCAATGGTCGTCATGCCCCGGAGGTACGAAGAAGTTTGGCCTTCAGGGTGTCAATTTCTACATTTTCCAGCCTGGGCAAAGCAAGGTTGCCGAGCTCATCCTAGAGAAGAGGTGTCCACGTGGAATCCCGGTGTTCAGCATGACTCTGCATTGTGATGGACTCATTCTGATCCCTTGCTTGACGGGACGGATGTATGTGTGTAATCCGGCAACCAGGGAGTTTGTTGAATTGCCACGAGGAAGCCGTAATGTCGCCGGGGACCATAGGGTCGCCTTTGGTCTCGACCCTTGTACTGGCAAGTATAAGGTTGCTAGGCACTTCTTCCGCTCCTACTCCGAAACGCCACAGGCAGATGGAGAAGGCACAGTTCTGGAATACAGCGCTGGGCATGAGATCTTGACCATTGGTGATGGAGTAGACGCATGGAAATGGAAGGTGACAGTGGATCCACCTTATGCTATGAATGCCAGGACTCCAATTTGTCTGCCCGGGTTCTTCTATTGGAGCGCTCTCCACTCTGTCACTGGCCATGGCAATAACAAGGTCAGCTCACATGTTATCCTTCAGTTTAGTTTGCATGATGAAACATTCACCGTGCATCCCAACCCACCGTGCAGGGGTTTTCTAAGCAACAATGGCTCGCTGTGCGAGCTTGGTGGCAAGTTATGCTATGTCCACTCTTCCTCACCATGGGATGTGGCCATTTGGTTGGCAGAGGATGGACCAAACCTTTGCTTGGCTTCAGCATTGCCGTCTCCGCTTGCCCTGACCAAGGCTGTTATCTGTCACGATCTTGGGTAGCTAGGATAGGAATTTGGGGTAGATTAGCAGGAATTTGGGGAAGGATTTGGAAGCAGCAGAGCTCGGTGGGGAGGAGGACAAACAGGAGGCTGGGGAACAGAGTTTTCAGTTATTCATTTCATAACCGTCTTCCGTTACAAGGGTGAAATAATAATTGGAGGAGCATGGAGAAAACTTACTCTGTCGATGACGTCGACGAGTGTCATGGCATGCTGACGACAAGCCGACGACGAGGTCCATGCTGTCGATGACCAGAGCCGCCGATGAACAGGCGATGTCGGCGAGCTATCGATGTGGCCTGAGGACTGAACGATGAGTGCCCCTGACAAGGGACGACAACAAGAGCCGCGACGTGCTGACAAAGGGCCGCCGCAAGACGACGACGGGATCCACATTGTCGGTGAGGGACGTAGTTAGGTTCCTGCCAATAATTGCCATGCAGACAAATAGAGATGTACATGAGGTATACATGTGTCGTATATTTAATTGAAACAAAAATATAGCTTAGCTTGTTTAATGGGCAGCAGGACGTGCTGATCTCAAGCTGGGGTCGGATCTTGAAAGTGCTAACGAGCATCAGGTCATTGCATGTCTCTTTGTAGATGTACGCCCTCCTTTAGATCGTGTCCGGCGACATGGTCGATGAGCCAACGATGTTGATAGTGAGATGCGACGACGAAGGATGCCGCGGGACCGGCGAATCGACGATGATGAGTCGATGGTGTGAGCCGCATTAGTAGGTGCCGCCACCAAGGCCTGATGACTGCATCTCGTGTCAACATGAGATCGAGCCGATGATGATATTGTCGGCGTGGAGGGGGCATCAGCATACGGAATCGGCGACATCCACCACCGCTAGTACATCGGTGCAAGAGGCGTTGCTCATTGCCACCGAGGCATGGAGACGTAGAGACATAGTTCTTCTGGGCGTCACCTTGCCGATCGGTACATCGAGCGCCGCCGCCGGTAGATGACGATTTGTCGTGGATGATGTTGACCTTGAGGTACGCCATCTGGTTCGCCATAGGATCAGCACGCACACCCCCTACCTGGCGTGCCACTGTCAACGAAATCTGGTCGACAGTCTACCGAGGGGTATACCCACGGTAGTAGATGAATCAGTGGAGGTGCGCATGATACGAACCAGATGGTAACAGAGACACAAGACACAAGATTTATACAGGTTCAGGCCGTCAGCTTGACGTAACACCCTACATCCTGTGCTCTGTTATTTTGTATTGATTGTGTATCAGATTCGATATATCGTCTAGGGGACCCCTACCTCTCCTTGTAGTCTTACGGTGCACACCTTGATTGTGTATCAGACTCTGGAGGGGTAGGGTTACAAGGAAAATATCATATTTGGTATTATACAATAAATTACATCTTCATGTAGTCTTGCGGTGCACACCTTGATCTAGTGGGGTGGGCCACCTTTGGGGCGCGGCCCATGTCTTGTCTTGTGGGTACCGGGGGCCATACCCCCACACGCACAGACCTCTAGGCCAGGCCCCTACGCCTACCTGGGCCAAACCCGATTACAATCGGCCAATA